CCTGTTCCCTTGATTCCTTTCCAGTCTTTTAACACTTAATCTCAACCCAGAAGTTCTAGGGTACAGTGGATGCCGCTGTTCTTTCTACTGTTCATCTCACAGGACAGTCCATATGGCTGTCCTCCATGCCTGAGGGCTCTCTTTCTCTTCTTTTCAAACCTCCTCACTTCTGGGGCCCCCTCAATGGTCAGATCAAATCCCAACTTCTGCAAAAAACTGGTCTGGTTCTATTTCCTCTCCCCACTCCCCTTTCTCTCTGATATTACCTTTGATTTGCACTCTAGTACGTATATAATTATATATTTACATGTTATGTCCCTTATTAGAACGTTAGCTTCTTGAGGGCTCGGACCCTATTTTTGCCTTTCTTTATATCAGGAGTGCTTCTGGTGAGCTAGAAACGCTTGTTAACTGGCTTATTGATCTTTTACATATTTAAGGATTGCAAAAGGCATGGCATTCACTATCTCCTCTGAGACTCACAAGAGTCTTGTGAAGGAGATGCTACAAATGTTATTAACCCCATCTTACAGATGAAGAAACTGAGGCTCACACCTAGTACATGTCAGACTGGAACCCAGGTCTCTCCTGACTCAAGTCCAGTTCCTTCTGGTGTGATGAAATTTGTACTTCTGACACCCTCAAAGATCATCCCATCAGTTACCGCAGGATTGAGGGAGTGAACCACTCATGACGGAAATCATACATCTTTGAGGCATTGAAGTCTAGGTCTGCTGATTGTATGCACAGTTTATATAGCAGCAGCTCATCTCAAAAAACGCTGCTAAATGTCAAAGCCAGATAGTAGCCGAAGTAGTACCAAGAATTCAGCCGGACTGCTCCTCCAGTTCATTTGCTCATTTGAATCATCTCAAGAAATCCCTAAGTGAAATGAGCCCAAGTCTCTGGTTCTTAGTCGCTCAGGGAGGTATTTCCCCTTTTTAAGCCACCAGAGAAACATTTGGTGCAAAATAAGTACTAAGTCTTAACAACTAGAATTGAATTCCTAACCTTTTCACATTCATTCATTCAATCACTGAGACACTAACCACTGCAGAGCATTTCAAGATATTGTCTCATTCAGGGAAGATCAGTTTCCCAGTACAAAAGTACAGACTACCCCCCCTTCCCCCCCATCTCAAGATTACTTAAATTTTTATGTACTTCCATAATTATATCTTAATTCCAATTAGTGTAAAACTCCTTGCACAGGGCCCTGTTTATCTTTTTTTTTTAAAATGACATTTTCTAGTCAATGGGTGGTACCATTTTTAACGTGGTTGGGGTATGGGGCTATTTGTGGTATTTGGGTAAAGATTCTCACTCTCCTACCTGTTGGGAATACCTTTGTTAGTTAATCCCACATTTTAAAGCCCAAGACCCAGGATATTCAGAATTTAATTCCTTTGTGGAGGAGTGCTTCCAACTGTTTTTTGCAACATGACAGTTTGTCTCCTGTAGTTATCTTCTCTTGCTCCCTTGCTCCTACCTAGGCAGAGCTGTTCCGGGCAGAAGACCTTGAAGGAGGGCTTATATACTGCTCAGGCTGCCTGGACCATCTTTCCTTTTCCCCTTTCTGGTTTTAGGGGGTTTTTTTTGGGTGTTTTCCCCCTTGTTTTGAGCTTTATTCTATACAACGATGGTTGCAAGTCCTCCCTTTGGAGTTAAATATGGTGATCTCTATCTCTTCCCCCTCCTTAAACTTGGTTAGCTCAGTAACTAAAAGGGATCACAATAGATCACTCACTCTACCTGGCTCATTTTAGCATTCCTAAACTCAGACTAGCCTCCGAAGCAATAGAGAGCTGCTCCCAAATGAAACAGCGTCCCCTGCCATGATAGAAAGCACTCCCCAACCCAATGAAACCAAAATCTGGAGAGCCTCTGAGTTAGAGACCACTGCATCATCTTAGACTCTATTCCATAAGTTTGGATTCGATCCAACAGATGTTTACTGAACTCCTACTATGTGCAAGCCATGGTACTAGGTCACAGGGAAAGACAAAAAAATAAAATAAAATAAAATAACCCTGACAAGGTATTTGTGTGCCAGAAATTCCTTAAGGGTAATTTTAACTAGCATCCACCCCTGAGATAAAGGTAGATAAATTACCCACCACCAAGACCATGTACAAGAACGGGTAACTACAGACACAGGGACTTTAAAAAAATGTCTATGATTATTTAGACATTATAGTTTAAAATGACACAATTCGAGTTTGGTGTGGGGACTCCTTTTGTGAAAAATTTAGGACAATATCTCTTTCCAAATCCCTCTTTCCAGGACTGTTTTAGACACAAAATGTCCACACCACCACTCCCCACCCCCTCCCCCCCACCTTACTTATCTGTTTTCCCCTCCTCCTCCTAATCCCTTTGTCCTTCTCTCTCACTCTCTTCTCTTTTCTCTTCTTCTTCGGCATCCACAGGCAGGAAGGGTCACAACCCTGGTTGGGTCCAGGGTGTGCCTGGTTAGAGTACATCATGTGCTGAATAAGCTTATCTTTGACACACTCCCTCCCGGCTCCTTTTATTTCTTCCTTGCCAGCCCCCCCTTCCTCCTCCCTTATAGCTCCTGCTTCTGATAGATGGATGGGAAGTCTTCACTCTTGTCCTGATTGGGTTATCCTTCTACTGAATACTAATTATAATAATAACACCCTGTGCATAAACAGGGCCTAATCTCTAAGGAACTCCAGAGTGCGCCCAGCAGGCCTGCCCTAGCTTCCCAGCCTCCCAAATCTCTACTTTTCTTGCTCTTCTTTCTAGTACTATTGCCTAAGGAAAGGCATCACCTACTGTCTTTGCTCTCCTTAAGGAAGGGTATTATATGGAAGGTAGAGGGTATTTCTTTAAGCCTTTTGTAATTCTATTAATAATGGGCTAGCTATAAACTTCACCACAGCTCCCCAGAATTAAGGTGGTAGCATTCTTACTTAAATTCAAGGGGATTCGGGTCAAGCGTCCTTTATGTATTAGTGGGTTACAGTACAGGATCATAGATTTAGAGTGGGAGGGGACTGCCTGGCCATCTAATTATATACAGTGTAAGCTGTATGTACATGATCTTATTTGAACTCCACAATCACCCCGGGTGGGTGTCAGTATTGCAGGTATTATTATCCCCATTCTACAGCTCAGAGGTTGTGTTTTGCTCAAGGTCACACAGGTAGGGCTGGGATTCAAACCCAGGGCCTTGGCCTAGAAATCTAGCGTTCTTTCTTCTATTGCACCCCCACATCAGAAGCGGGATCTGAAACCAAATCTTCCTGATCTCTCGGATTCCAGCCAGAAATTTCCCCTTTCCCCCTTTACAAAGTGATTTAGCCCCAACCTGCTCTTAAAGCGAAAAGTTTCATAGAAAACGAGAAAAATATTGAAGATACTGCAATAAAGCACAAAGCTGAATATTGCCCATTGCCCAAATGGATCGTGGGGAAAATGCCGAAGGGGTCGGGGAGGGGCCCAGGGAAGGAGGGATTCAAACTGGCTGAAGTTATGCACAAGGTACCACACCTGAGGACGGCGGGCTTGCTTCAATTCCCTTCTTTTCCCTCCAAATGAGGGCACCCTCGTCTGCACCAGGCTTGGAATATCCTCCCCTCACTCATTCCCCCTGGGCGTGCACACACCTCTGGCCCTCCCTCCCGCAGTGAGCTGCTTGCTCTGTGACAGGGTGGGCAAAGAGGTTTCCAGCGGGGGCTCCTCTTCTGCAGCTCCTCAGCCTGGCCGCTCGCCAGGCAGGAGTGTGGCCAGGTACAGAGCAAGGGTCACACACGCTCTGCTCTGCAGGCATTCCCTTGGCTTTGGTGAGCACAGAGGCAGAGCTGTGTCCACACCTGGGTGGAGCACAGCCATGACCCAGCCCACCGTCCGAGGGGCGTCCGCTTGACCATTCCTCCAGAACGTGCAAGTGCAAGGATGGGGACAGGGGACCCCCGTGCATGTCCTCTTCTCCCTCCCCAGCAAAGTGCTACCGTGAACTACTTCCTCTCTTTGACTCTGGGTGGTGGTTGCCTGACAGCCCACCGTAGGGTTGTAGGCACATGCCTCAGAAGCCATGCAGACTCCTTTCTTTCCAGTCTCTTGCCGTTCCTCCCTCCCTCCCTTCGTCCTCTCCCTAAGTCTTGCTGAGTCTCGGCTTGGTCATACAAGGGGCGCCTCCTCAAAGCCCTGGGTACATCCTCTTCCCCACCAAGTCCCGCTTGGGGATCCTCGCTTAGACGAGAATAAGAGAATGGCCACCTATAAAACAGCTTCCTGGGTTCCAAGTGTGGGCCGGGAATGCAGCCCGGGGGCTGAATTGGGGGGGAGGGCGGGGAACACACACACACACACACACACACACACACACACACACACACACACAGACGTCCCCCTACACAGATGTACACACAGATCTGGGTCCAGAGACGCACAGACACGTGCACGGACACATGCACAGACAGACACAGACATACACATACACACACACACACAAACACACAGCAACACAGCCAGGCGCCGGTGCAAGCACACACAAAACACATACACACACAAAATACAGAAGCAGGCTGAACCCTAAGAAAAACACATGCACACGCATGCACACACGCGCGAAGGGGCCCATGCATGCATGCATGCACGCACGCACCCACGAGCCCCCCCACCACCGCGCACACGTCCGCAGCTCTCTCTCCCCCCTCCTGCTTCTCCCCCTCCGTCCTCTCCCCCTCCCCCTTCGCTCGGAGCCTCCCCCTCCCCTCGTCGGAGAGGCCGCGCGCCGCCATTGGTCCGCCGGGCTGGTGACGCGCGGCGCTCGGCCCCGCCCCCAGTCAGTCACTCGGCGGAGGCGGCGCTGGCGGGGACTAGTCTCGTCCGGAGACTGGCAGCGGCGGCGGCGGCGGCAGCGGCAGCGGCGGCAGCAGCAGCGGCAGCGGCGGCGGCGGCAGCGGCGGCCGGAGCTCGAGCCCGGGCGGCTTGGGGGGGAGGCGAGGAGGACGGCGGCGGCGAGGACGGCGGAGGCGGCGGCGGCCGCGGCGGCGACGCGGCGGCGGGCGGCGTTTCGTTTCTCCTCAGCGCGGCCCCTGTTTTGCGGAGGGGGGGGCGGGGGGAGAGCCCATCCATGACCATGGGCGACAAGAAGAGCCCGACCAGGTACCTGCTCCCGCCGCTCGGGGCTGGGGCCGGGGGGAGGGGCGGGGGCGCAAGGAGCGGCAGGAGGAGGAGGAGGAGGAGGAGGAGGAGGAGGAGGCGCCCACGACTAGGCCCGGCCGCCGAGCCCGGGCCGCGGCGGCGGCGGCGCGCGCGGTGGGGGGGGCCCGGAGGAGGAGGCGCCGCTAAGATGGACGTCGGCCCGGGGCGGGCGGGCGGCGGGGAGGCGGTGTCTGCCGGCCTGCCTCCCTGCCTGCCGGCGGGGCCGAGCGCCGCGCGAGCGAGAGCGCCGCCTCCTCCTCCTCCTCCTCCGCCGCCGCCGCCGCCTCGGCCGCAGCCATGGCGGCTCGTCGTCCGCGACCCTCCCAGACAAAGGGAACGGCTTCCCCAGGTGGGGAGGGAGCCAGCGCCGAGGAGGACGCCCGGGGGGCGCTCCGCTGCGGGCCCCCCGTGGTCCGCTCAGCCAGGCGGGGGGGGGTCCCCGCCCTTGTCTGGCCTGGGCCACGCTCCGCGAGTGGGCCGGGGAGTAACTTCGGGGTGGGGGCGCCCGCTCCTGTGCATTGGGATTTCTCACCCGTGCGTGTGTTTGTTGTTCTCTCCACCCTTCCCCCTTCGGCCCACTCTGCGAAGGCCAAAAAGACAAGCGAAACCTGCGGCCGATGAGGGATTTTGGGATTGTAGTGTCTGCACCTTCAGGAACAGCGCGGAAGCCTTTAAATGCAGCATCTGTGACGTGAGAAAAGGCACCTCCACCAGGTACTCACGCAGCTAGCTGCCGGGTGCTGGGGAGGGGGAGCCGGGGAGGCGGGCGCGACCCCCCCCCACTTGTTGATCAATCCTGGCTATTACCTGCTTTTGGCTCGTGTGTGTTGGTGTCGAGAGCGTGGGGGGGCTCGCTTTTAGTCTTATTTTATCGGTTTCCTGTGAACAGAATTTGGCCCAATATTGTCATAATTCGGAGTTGGACTTCGGGGGAGGACCTTGTTCCAATTCTTTTTTTCATCTTATTTCATAAATTGAGCACAGACGCAGTGGACTTAAGCCATCTACTTAAGAGAAACAAGCACCTCTTTTCTCCTACACTTTTGTGGGGAGTTAAACGGAATGTTTTTGTCGTGGGCAGACGGTTTCGTTTGCCCTGTTTTTGCAAGCCCCAAGGACGTTTTAAATGAGGACCCCAAAGCGGCTCTGGTTGTCTAGCGTTGCAGATGCCACAGAACTTGGAAAAGCTACAGCTTGATAGAGAATTTGGGTTTTTAAAGGCTGAACTTGATCAGCGTTGGTGCTTGTTATTTCAAAATGGTGAACCTGATAACACTGTAAATACTGATAACGTGTAATGCTTTGTTTTTGTAAGTAATAGAATGTTTAAAAAAAGAAGTGCTTTTTGGTGGAATACAGACCCCTAAACGGCACTCATACTGAATCTCCACTCAATATTAGCTGGATCTTTCTAGATTTAGTTTTTTTTTTTACTGTGTGTGAGTTAAAATTTGGAGAAACTATCCTTGGTTGCTTTGGAGTTTTTTGTTTCCTTCTCTGTTTTCTTTGAACAGAATTTGGTCTAGTGTTATCAAAATTTGGAGTTGGAGTTCCAACCGTTGTGGTTATCATTTGATGCCCAGATGTTTATGTATATTCTGGATTGGTACTTGGAGTTGATTGCTGAAAAGTGTGTCATTTTATCAGGTGTCTGGTTTGTTTGGGTGGTAGTCAGTGTTACTCTGGGTAGTATTTCAAATGCATAGTATTCCGTAACTTGCATGGTTTCATGATTAAAGGCTCTTCTTTATGTAATGCTTGTAATGTTGTGCTTTGATTTTTATACTTGAGGTTAAACATAAGTAGTTGGGCATACTTTAAGTATATAACTTAGGATTTAGTTTAGATTGAAGTAGTATACTTAAAAAAAAGAAAGAAAATGGGACTACTGAAATTGTTATTTTAAGAGCTAATTTTCCCCTTCATTGTTTCTGGTGGTGTTAATCATAACTTTCAGAATACATTACTCTAGGCTGAATTTGCTTGGAGGCTGAGGTATAATTTTTTTTTTCGCTTTCTTAAATGCAGAATTCTGTCAAATGCCATAAAATTTTGTATGTTATTATAAGCAGTAGTATGTGGATAATGAATTATATTTTTAACATGTGAAAACCTCTTCATTGTGGTTTTACTTTGAGGGTTACTGTAAATAGTGTGTGCAGCACAACTCAATGACTGGGAAACTCTTCAACTTTTTAAAAAATAAGTTACTATTGTATTGAAACTTAAGCCAATGAGTTTACATCTGATTTATTGTTGAATTAAAATACTTTGTAATGAACATTTTAATTTCATTTTCTTCTTGGATAAAATTTGAATGTCAGCTTTTCCTCCCCAAAGTCACAAATAGTGACAGTACAAATTCTCTGGTTTTTGTATTTTTGCCAATGTTGTGTGTACTTAAATGCTTGTTGAATTGAATAATTTAATGCTCAATCTGCTTAGACAGTAAATCTTTAAGGGAGCATAATGAAGAATTTGAATATTGTAGTTATGAACTTTGGAATGATGTCTAATGTTTTGTGTCTACACAAATTTAGTTTGGTAGCATAGTGTCTAGTGTTAGTATTTTTACATAATTTCAATGATAAACCACTTGAGTTAATCTGACATCTCTTTCAAGTCATGACATTATTATATGACCTGTGATGTAACTACCCTGGTTCTAATCAGGCTTATTGCCTATCCAATGATGGTGTTTCCAGGTCAGAATTATTATCTTGATGTTTCTGTAGGTTAGAACTACTCTGGAAATTACAGTTAATTGGAATGCAGATATTTTGAAAGTATGTTGTAAATACCTCTCCATGGGGAGGGGGCAAATTTTACTTGATTTCTGCCATCCAGTGCAGTGTTTTATTGCTTGTTTATTTTCTTTGTGATAATAGTGGTAGTTGTGTTTGTTCACTTTCTACCTTTACTTACTATTTTTGGGGACCCTCCTATGATGATGTGTGAGCATAGAATCTTCTAATATATATTTATCATCACAATTGATGTTGATGTACTATTTTTTCCCTGTGTTTCTTGATGTTGCCTAAATCATTCGATAAGAAATATGTAGAAAATTCCATTTAAAATCTTCAGGATATTTTTTATTTTGTTAGCTCTCCTACTGACCATACAGATGTTGATTGGATTTTACAAATAGACACATAACAAGCTGTGTTCCCAAAAGGCTCACTTAAGGCACTTTAGAATTTATTAAGCGCCTTCTATGTACCAGGCACTGTGTTAAGCACTGGATACAAAGACAGGCAAAAAAAGGCAGTCTGTTCTGAAACAGCTCCCAGGCTTGTAGTTTTTGAAACTAGAAAAGTTGTAAGCTATAGTTAAGATACCTTTTGGAGAGAGTGAGAGGATACATTCATTACTTTGCCTTGGAAATTAAAAAGATAGTCTTGAAGGAATGCTGTCTCTGGTCATGCAGAATTGATTTCCACAAAATCGAGCTGGCTCAGTCTTAACAAATTTTTTAATGATATATCCTGTTTGTTTACCTGCCATTCATTTTTTGCCACTAGAGTGAGACAGGTGACTTGGCCTGAGGTTTAAATTAACCTTTTTTAAAAAAAATTATTAAGAACACTAACAGAATGAAGAAGGGATCAAAGAGTAGGAGGAAGGCGAATACCCTGGCAGGTAACCTAAAGATTTGAGAGCAAGGAAAAATTAACAGGCATCAGTGAGTCACCTAGAATTTTTCTTTTTTAATTTGTTGGACCTGGTATTCTACTGCACGTTACTACCATGCATGTATGTTCTGATTGGAATTTTCAAGGTGAAAGAAAAGGGCAGTGATTGGATATGGCTTTTCTCAGTGTTAGCCCAAGATCTTCAGGGTGTTCCGAGTTTCCTGCACTTTTAATCTATTAAGTCTTTGATAGCTTAAAACTGTAGGAAGACTTTTGTGACACCTGATGTTTTCTAGTTTACTTTCCCAGATACAAGGAAAATACTATTTGAGAAAAATATAACAATGCCCCACTCCCTCATCCCCCAACTCATGTATTTTGTCTTCTTGCTTATTAAGCTACTCTGATTCTAATAAGTTGATGTTACCCAATTTTTGTGAATAACCATGAACTAAGTGGTATTGAGTTTGTTCTGATCTTCCCCTTTCGTGGATGCCGATGTTATTTTCTGTTATTGAGAATGTGGATAGAAATGCTATGACAGCTATCACTCAATGCTATTCTTTTTATAAAGAAGCAGGCTCTTGAACCTAGACTATTCACATAAAAACCTTCAGTCTGATGGCTTTTTTGAGTAATTAACACATTATAAGCTTTTATGATAATATTGTTATTTGAATTTTTAACTTAATGTTGTGACATTCTATCCTTGTCATTTAAATGTTCTCATAGCTTTATTTATAAGTCGAACTAAGAAAAGTACTCATAAAAGCATTACTATTTTAACCCCTAGATTTCTTCAGACCTTAAATAAAATATGATCAACTAACACTTTCAACTTATTCTAAACATAGTTTAAAAAAAAACCAAACTTTTACTCCAATGGAAACCAGGACAACACTATATTGTAAGGACAGAGGAAATTTTTTTTTTTAAAGATCACAAATATTTCCCTTTACTTTCTTGGGTGTTCCTTTTCTGGATCAGTAGCTTAGATCTACCTTTGGATCTTTTGTTTAAAAACAGCGTGGAACCATCCTTAGAAAATCAGAATACTTCTAATATAAGTCAGAATCAAATATCTTCATGCCGTTTCAAACACAATTTACAGTGTCATTTTGTTTTCTCAGGAGCTTTAAGGGAGTCATATGCATGTTGTGTATATATATGTGTGTACACACATATATATACACACACATATATGTATATTTCTGTGAGAAAGGTATAAACCAGTTGATTTTATAGATAACAGAATTCTCTAGGGGGAATGGAACTTTAATAAGTAGTTGTGGGGCTCAGAACTTTTATGAAAGTTTGTGTATAACCCACTTGGCTGCCTTTTCCTTATAAATTAGGCAGATTTGCATATAACAGAAAATCCATTCTCCAGTTAAAGCCCATGGCATCAGTTAGTGTTTGAAGCCTAGTTCTTAAACTGTTAAAGATGGTTCATTTCCTACATCTTCACTTAAAGTGTATTACAAATTTATTTCACATTGGTCATGTAAATCTTTGGTAGTCATAACTGATTATGTATGTTGTTTACTTACCTGAGGTGTATTTAATATCAACTTCAACCTATAGTGACAAACTTTCAGAATTTATGAGATAAATCAAAGTAATCTTTTCATTGACAATATGGTGAACTTACACTATGTGGGATTATTATCTAGTTATTTTCGAAAATACTTAGCCACATGGGATTGACTAGAGTGACATAAATCCATCATCGCTGTACAGAGAGCCAATGTCAAAAGCCAATAATACATAAAGAATCAGTCTTTCTTAAGGTCTGAAGAAGATAACTTTCTCCACCTACACAGACCTGAAATCCTGCTATATCTTGGCGCCTGGTCTTAAGAATATCCACAAAAAGGGCCTAAAAAAGTATCATTCTCCTGCCACCCAACCTAGTGATAAGACTGAATACTTATTTAGGCTGGTCCTCAGGACATGCTGCTTCATACTTGGTAGGACTGGTCAAGAGTTTGTGTTCTTCTGGACTGGCCTTCACAAGGTAGTAGTGTTCCCTTACCTTCATAATGAGGTATCAGAGTAGGACTTTAGTATTTAAAGTAA